TTTACGACCACCAATATTACCTGAAATGCCTGATGATTATGTGCAAATGATGCAGAGGTGTTGGGATGTGGATCCATTAAAAAGACCAACTAGTAGAGAGCTGCTTGATTTTGCTGAAAACAAATTTGAAGAAATTATTAATAAAAATGAAAGTTTGAAAAATAATAATAGCAATAATAGTTTAATAAAAAGATTATTCAAATTTTCAAAAATCGAAAAACATGAAATTGATTTTAATAATGGTGGCAGCAGCAACAGTGATGGCAGCGGTGGTGGTAGTGATTTGCAACAAGCACACAAATTACATCCAGATGCGTATCATACAAGTAGGATATTAGATGATGATATCGCTAAATCAAAAAGCTTGAAAATTTATACAAATAATGATAGTTCGTTAAATGATCTTGATTTTAATTCTATGTTAACAAAGGTGAATAAAAATTTCATTATTAATCAATTGGAAATTACTATCCTACTAACAATATTAATTAATTAATTAATTAATTAATATTAAATTCTAGTAACAATAGTAAATGAAAAGATGTGATGAATGACTAATTTAATCTCCACCATAAATTTATTATCTTCTTTTTATTTATCTTTTTTATTTTATCCTTATTTTGTTTCTCATAATAATATTTCCTATAATAAATTTTCTGGTTCTTGTTAAATGGTGATCTTGTGAGGTATCATTTCTGTTAATTATGGCTTAACATTTGGGTTACTCTTGTCAGTTAATAACTCACAATAATTCGGTGCTTTTCATAATTGGTTTACGAATTTACTTTGATTCTCGATTACTGCACCTAGACGAATTTGTAAGTAACTTAATGGTACCAGATAACTGTAATCAAATAAAGATGTCCTTTTTGTTATAAAGTTCCTTTTATTCACTTGTGATCAATTTATTTCAGTTGTTTACCCTTGTTTACATTTATTTGCCGATTGCAAACTTGCTTTGGTTCACTTGGAAAACAATCAAGTAGCTTGTTTAACAGTTTTACATTTTGATTACAATAATACTACCAGTATTTCCGATTAACTTTTGGACGATACTTGATTGACACCCACTAGTTAACTAACAACGTTAGTCCTAGCCTTGCTTACTTGCTCACTAAAGCAAACAAACGTGGCTTTTTACCAAAGCTCCACGATTGTTAACTACACTTGTTGCTTTTATCAAAGCGCTTTAAACAAAGAAAATAAAGACAATGTTTTATTTCTATTTTTATTTTTAAAAGTTTATTGACAATTAATTTTAATTAATAAAAATAATGATTCTATCACAGAGTTTATTTTTTTATTATTTTCCTTTGCGAGGACCAGAAGTTATCCTTGATGAAATTTTCGTTGTTATTCACTACAATAAGGATAAAGATAAAGATGGGTTTATTATTACAAAGTAACTTAATCAATCAATATTGATATTATAAAACTTTCATAATAAGCGTAAAGTTTTCATTCGATAATAATTTATCCGTGTCACGTTATTAATATAAGTAATGAATGTTCGCGTTTAGTAGTAAATGAGTATGTGAGAACTGAATTTGTAGAAAAACTTGGCTCCTTGATGAAACGAGAAATATAAAAAAAGAGCTTGGAATATATTTACAAGTTTTTTTGTGAGCTTTAATATTTTAAAGCAATTTACTTGCATCATTTTTGACTTAATAGTTTTACAACTCTAGTCAACTAATAAAAACCAACAATAGGATGTTGTCTGAAGACCAAAAACTTGACTATTATTCATAGTTTTATATGGGCAGTCATAAATGAATCCATTGCTTTTAGACTAAATGAAAAGTTTCATAGCCAATTACTGGCAAAAATACGAAAGTAAGTTTTTAAATTACAAAGCAAGCATTCATTTAATTTAAGATATTAAAACTTATCATCATTTATTACTTATTTAAAAAAGGATAGGCGAAGTCCACAGTGCTTCTATGGAAGCCAAACAAGAAGAAACATATCACAGCCATAAGATAATAATAATTAAATATTTATTTTGCTTCACATAGAAATCCGTTATATTAGTATTATAGTTATAGTTATAGTAATAGTAATAGTTAGTAATTTGGAATAACGGATTTTTCTTCATTCAGAGTTTTTATTAATTTCAACCCATTAAAAAAATTTTTTTGCTTAAAATAATACAGTCGGAAGAAAATAAACATTAATATTAATTAATTGGTAATAAAAACATGCGATATAAATTTTTGTGTTTGCTTTCTGGAGATCAATGTATATATTTTCTTTTTATGAATAACAAAAATGAGCTTGATAACGACTTTTCGATGTCTATGGATAACAAAGGAACGGAAATAGTGCCATAAAAAAGGCATTAACATAGTTTTTAGTAATATTGATAATTCATTTGCTTTTGATGAATTTGCAAATGCTATAAATGCTGAAGAAATGCAACTGATTATTAATTCTTTAGATAACGATGATGATGATGATAACGACGACGACGACGAATTATCCATCTGATCGCGAGTTATAAGTTGATAACTTTAGTGAAGAAGAGTTTATGGCAAGTATTGTAAATAATATTGAGAGATAATATAATTATCAAGGTTTTATAATTTTTGTTTATCCTGCTGATAATACTCAATCAAAATGGTCACCATCTTTACAACCATTACTATTACTATTACTATTACTGTGTAGTTATTATTATCCGCAAGAAAATATCATCAATTGCCAAATCGATTTCTAAATAACTTCCAACTCGCCAACACCAATAAAATTGTAGTTGCAGATATTTTTTGCAGATTATATTTTCATCTTCATCTATTGCTGAATTACTTCTGTCTTTTTTCCCTAGTGCTAGCGAAGCAAATTTCAACTGCCGATTTACTAACCGAAAATCCGAGCCTTTAGTATTTTTTCACTAATACTAATTACTTGGTTTGTTTGATTTAAATGTTTTTCTGGGCTCTATTCTATCAATTACTACTTTATCGATTTTTTGGTTTGTGTTAAATTTAATATATTTCCAGCTGGTTTTATGGGTTTTTATGATGAATTTAAACAGAGTTACGAACGAACCTAAACTCAAACATATACAATAATGGTTGATTTTTCTACCAAAGCGCGTGTTTACATCGTTCTGTGAGCAATTTATTAGCAAATAATGAATGATTCAGCTAATAGTAAGATATAATGATAATAATAACATTTGGGGTGACCAACACTTTATCTCAGATATTAATTGTGTTTTGAACTATTTCTTAATAAAAATCAATTCATATAGCATATAAATAAATAAATTTCATTGTTCCTAAGCACCAAGTAAAATTTGTAGGAATAAATAATTACAATATGTTTTTATTGAACAAACTAACTGGAATATATATAGTAAGAGATGATAAAGTTTTGAATTCTGTCCGAGACTACTTGCTGCTTTATCATTTTTTTCTCAAGAATAAAACACCTTCTAAACCTTCAATGGTGCTACATGTAATTTATTTCTTCATCTTGTAGCATTTATTCAGCTATTAAACATTCATCCTTGTAATTGATAACACTTACAAGATTCTTCTTGAGCGTATCGGTATACGATGTCATAATAATAAAGAGTTTGAATTTTGAAAATTTGTGGAACACACAGTTGTTGTAGTTTTAATCCTTTATTTAAGGTGAGAAAGCAAGCTTACTTGCTACCAAAAGAATTGAACCTGCACATCATAAACTAATCCAGAAATTTCCCTTTTTTCCTTATTATTATATAAATATTTACATTTATAACTTTTAATAAAATAAATTTAATTAACATGATCTATTTATTATTAAACTTCAAAAAAAAGAATTGAAACCACAAGAGATAAATTAAAGGAACAAGTGAAGTTACGGCAATACACCGATGGCTATGGGTACTAAAGAGAGATTTCATTAATCTATTATTCATTTGTAACCTCGTGAACACTTAATATAAAGATTAAAGATGCACCGCAAATTATTATTATATTAGTTTAATAATGTGGCTCCTCAACTAATTGCAACTAATTGCAACTAGTTGCCTATTAAAACTGAATTGCAATTGCAGCTAATTGCAGTTTTTTGCATAATATTTATTTAATATTGAATATTAAATTCTAAATTAATAATTCCACTGTAAAATATTAAATAAATATGTATATATATAATGTATATGCACATGTAAAAAAAATACATGATGATTATATAGATTGATCCCTAATTCCTTCAGGATATACTAGAGTATAATATTTTCTTGAACAGGCATCTGAACTTCTATTTTTCATAATTTCAGAAATTTTACTCCATTCTCCACTGTATATTCTAACCAAATCAACTAATTTCTTTATTTCACTGCTTGACCATATTGCTCTTTTACGACCATTTGATTCAAGTTTTCCATCATTAAAATGATTAGTGTTAACATCATCATTATCATCAAGTTCCAAGCCAACACAACCTTCGTCACCTTTTTTCATCTTTGTTGCTTGATTTTTAATGGATTTAAATGTCCTACCAGGAAAGTATTCAGCAAGACGTCCATAATCATTTCCATATTTTTTTAATAAATCCTTTAATAAATCTCTATCTGTTTTTGTCCAATCCTTACGTGCAATAAACCAATAACTTTTTTGCTCATTATGAGTTGGTTCTACCAAAAATTGATGATTTGATTTGTAAAATGATATACATTGATTTCTTTTCTTAGTTTTAATTTCCTTTGTTATTGTTTTCCAATCAGGTCCATATTTTTGATAAAGTTTTGTGAATTGTCCAATTTCTTCATCATTCCATGTTGTATTAGTTCTTATGAAATTACTCATATTAAAAAATGGAAATATGTGTTCATAGTCAAAATAAAATTGTTTAATCTCTTTGACTGATCTCTTATTTTCCAATTTATTTGCTATCAATTTCCATTTAGCTCCATATTTATTGTATAAAAATTGAAGCTCAACAACTTCCATCAATGACCAATTTGTGTTTAATGACTCATAATATTTTGAAATATAATAAAATCTTACATAGCATGCTAATGGTGTTCTTGCTGGTTTAAGTTTTTTTGAAATTTCTGTAAAATCATTACCTGAATATCTTAATTTAAATAGTTGGTAAATATCATTTGCACCCCATTTAACCTCTGGTTTTGATTTGTATGCATCATTAATAATATCACGAGGACGATATTTTGTAAGATACTTGAAAACATGTTGACGTATATCATTTGACTTTTTATATGGAAAGTTGGGGATAATTTTATCCCAATCAAAACCATATTCAGTTATTATATTCTTTAATAAATTTTTATCTTCAGGTGACCATTGACATGTTTTGAGACTGAGACTATTACGTGAATTACAATTTAAAGGTGTAAATCCTGGTACAAGTAATGGAACTAATTGCCATTTACCATACTTTTTCAAAAGCAGATTAAATGCATCTATTACTTCTTTTGATAAACAGTGATTAGCTATTGAAGTGACATCATTATTAATTTGGTTCCAAGATAAATGATACTCAAATTCACATGAAGTAGCAGATCTACCAGGAAGTTTACTAGATATTACTAACCAATTTTGTCCATATGTTTCAACAAGTTCATTTAGTAAATTTATTTCATACCTTGCCCAAGGAAGATGATCATGATCTGTTGTTGTTTCTGTGGCGGTGGCGGTGGTGGTGGTGGTGGAAGTTGTGCCTAAAGTTTTTTTGCTTGATGTGAATTTTGAAATTAAATCATAATCATGTCTATGTTTATAAACTAAATCATTTAAAATCTTTATGTCATCATTTGGCCATCTAATAGATGATGCAACCTGAGTAGGTTTGCTTAATGAAGGAAATTTGTCTGGATTGTTCTTTAAAAAATTTTCTATTTCACTAGAACTTTTATTTGGAAAATGTTTAATAATTTGGTTCCATCTACGTCCATGTATCTCAATTAAATTATTCAAAAATTTAATTTCTTCTTCCTTCCAACTTTTTTCTGTTGGTAATTCTTTTTGATGGTCTAAAATTAAGTCATCATTATCATTGCTATGTTTAAATTTTTTTGTATGATCAGGTAATATACTTAATAGATTTTTATATTTTTTAAAACATTCTACTGGTGATTTAGTAAACATATACTTGGAAACCAAATCCCAATTTTCACCGAGTTTTTCAACAAGATTCTCTAATTGTTTAACTTCTAATTTAGTCCATTCATGAGATTCTTTTTGACCAAGTATACCACCACCATCACCACTACTATCAAAATCTATTATATCATCATCTATGAAACTATTATTACTACCGTCATCATTGTTCTTGTTGTTATTGAAATCATCTATCAATTTAACATTGTTCTTTGATAAAGTTGAAAATTGTCTATTTCTAGAATGATCGACAGGTGATGATAATAATACACTATTACTATTAGATGAATTTTGTTTTATTTTACAAGAAAATAATTTATTATGACTTAAAAGTTTTTTGAACATTTTTTATTTGTGGTATTATTATTATTACTAAATATTATTACTAATTAACTACTACTAATGCTAATACTAATAATAAATAAAGAGTTTAGGGATCAGAATTTAAGGGTGGCGTATATCTAACTACTAATATCACTAATACATAATTACTACGTACGATCTTTTTTTAATTTGATCCCAGAATAATCTGTCGATCACACTTTTCTAAAAATTAAGGAATCTAATATCCGCGCAAAAATTTTTTAACCATTTAATTGACCGTGAAATTTAATATTAATAGTTAGCCGGTTGATCAATAATTTAATCACACGAAATTTTTTGACAAATTCGAATAATATATGCACTATCTAACCCAATTAAAAAAATTTTTCTATTTTTGCCTTGCAGCGCGATAATAATAACAGTAGCGGCAGAAGTGATTGACATATTTTCTTTTCTTTTCTTTAGTCAATTAATAATAATTGTAGCAATTGGATCTTTTCCCTTGTGTTGAGTAATAATAATAATACGAAACTTCTATATAATAAAAATAATTAGCCAATAAAAGTTTTACCCTTGCAACGCAAATTTTTTCGCAATGGTGTAGCCTAATAAATTACTACAAAAACATATAAATAGACCCGCTATTTTTCACTTGTGGACCAAAAAATTGCATCTGAATTCAGGGGTTAGAGCACGTAGTGCCAAAATGGTATTCGTGATTTGATTTTTACAATGCCTTCGAATGTTGAGGCACGCATCAGAGTAATTCATTTTCATTATCAAAGTTTTATTTTTTTTATAAATTTTATTGTTTGCATTTTTGCATGATAATAATAATAAATAAGATTGTCCAAAAAATTCTAAATTCGTTTTGTCTGTTTAGTATTAGAGTTCAGATTTAACCGGCTTGACAAAAATAAGCCATATTCATTCGTAATACCGAATTACGATCAGACCTTGGTTGAATCCCAATAATGATGATATAAAGGGTTTGATACCAATGAAGACACACTAATATCCAGATATATTAGAAAATATGTTCCTTTGTTTAATTCTGTTGGTTTGATCTTGAAAATATGATTATATGAAGGTTATTGAAAGATTTATAAAGTTAATTTTATATTTTAATCTTTGAAAAACTAATTAAAATTTTTTATCTGAATAATTATATTATACCTATATATACCAGCTGATTTTCCAGAACAACCTTATATAAGACGTGCAATTGTACATTAAAATAAATTAGTTGAATTTTACTCATCTTGAATTAGTTAACCAATTAATTAACATTTCAGAGCTTTTCTCATAAATGTAGAGGCAGAAAATTGTTAATCAATTCATTTCTGTAACAAACTTTTTTGCAAATTAAATAATAAACAAATTTATTCTTTCGTAGTCGAAAATTAAACAGTGGGGTTTAATTGTTTATTTGGTTACCAGATTGGTGTTTCTATTTTTAATATAGATTCTTGTTCGAATTAGAGAGTGGAATTCTTGCTGATGGCTCATGCTGGGTGTATTGACCCTTTGTGACATGACCTCTCTCTCTTGTTAAAACATTTAAAATTCGTTAATTGATTTGATTGGTTACATTTGTAATATATTAATAGATTTTTTAAATTTGAAAGTTATACTCAGAAGTGCAACAATATTTTGCAGGAAATGCGGACAAATTCCACTATCTCACCGATGACGAGATGGAATAGGATAATCCTATGTGGGTTATATATGAGAAATGTAGATCATTTTAATAATAAAAACAAAT